GAACCTGCAAAAAAAAAAAATCTCCTTTTAATCTCTACAGGTACAAGACTACCTCCACTTCACTGTTTTCTCCTACTATCTATTACATTGAAGACAATATTCTCCCATCAACCAAAGGCTAATTCCTCCATGTGCACTGTGGTTTCTGTCTCATCTGACTGCTCAAGGACTTCTTCAGCTATGTGTTCTCCCTCTGACTTAAATTCAGGGTTTCCCTCAATACTGGATCCTTCCCATCAGTATCTAGATACAACCTAGTAGAGCTGGGTCTTGACTCAACTGGTACAGTGTCTACCTTGCAAGCACAAGGCCATGAATTCAAACACCAGTACTACCCCCCCCAAAAAAAACTGAAAATTAAAAAAATAACCTTATCTTCAATATAGTCCGTATTAGTGTTAGAGCTTCAAAAATAAATAAATAAATAAATAAATAAATAAATAAATGGTCTAATCTCTGGCATTATACAATGTCACATCATATTTTAGCCTACAATTTATTTGAAATTACATCACATAGAGAGACACTTCTAACTTAGAAAATGTACTTGGTAAGGTCACCATGACTTCCTCCTTCCTCTTAGCCTGACCTCATTCTTCAGGTTTTAAATAAATACCACTTCCTGTGATTTAAGGGCACATGTTAACCACAACACCCAAAATAAGGTAATTAAATACACTTTTTCTCTTTTCAAGAAGATAGGGTTTAACTGGGCACTGTTGGCTCACAACTGCAATCCTATCTACTTGGAAGGATGAGAGGAGGAAGATGGTGGTTTGCGGTTACAGGCAGGTATGCTACTGCTTGAGCCACACCGTGAGTGTAATATCATTTTAAGAGATTCTTAGCCAGGTGCCAGTGGCTCACACCTGTAATCCTAGCTACTCAGGAGGCAGAGACCAGAAGGATCACGGTTCAAAGCCAGCACAAGGGAAATAGTTCGAGGGATCCTATCTCAAAAAAACCCACCAGAAAAAAGGGCTGTCAGAGTGGCTGGAGTGATAAAGTGCCTGTGTAGCCAGAGTAAGGTCCTGAGTTCAAACCCCATTGCTGCCCAAAACAAAACAAAAAATAAAGCCTAAATACCCATAAATTTGCCGTACCCTAAATATAATATGATCATTTCATACAAAAGAATATCACCTAGCTTGTAAAAAAAAAAAAAGGATATGGAAGCATGTTGTATTTGGATGTGAAACAATTTCTATGATACATTATTTAAAAGGAAATACAGTTGGGGCACTGGTGGCCCTCTAATCCTAGCTACGAAGGAGGCTGAGATCAGGAGGATCAAGGTTCAAAGCCAGCCCAGGGAAATAGTTGGAGAGACCTTCTCTTGAAAATAAACAACATAAAAAGTGTGATGGTGGAGTGGCTCAAGTGGCAGAGCACCTGCTTAGCAAGCATTGGGTCCTAAGTTCAAACCCCAGTACTGCCAAAAGAAAGAAAGAAAGAAAAAAAAATTACTAATCCAGATGCATATTGAAAGGACTATGAACCAGAATCTAATGGGATTCATCCATCCCAGAAATGCAAGCATGGATCAATACACAAAATCCCACAAATATGGGGCATACATCAACTAGTAGGACACTTGCCCTGAATGTACAGTGTACTGTACTGTATTAATAGAGTATAGGAAGAAAAATTCACATTATCATCTCAAATTATGGAGGAAAAATATTTTTTGACAACATCCAAACACTTTCATGATGAAAGCATTCAATAATCAACCAACCTGAAAAAAGATTAACAATGAGAAACTCAAAGGTAATATCCTACTTAATGGTAGAGGACAGAAACTTTCTCCTTAAGATCAGGAAAATGATAAAAGATGTCGTATCTTACCACCCCTATTCAACGTTATATGAACTTCTAGCTAAAAAAATAATAATAAAATAAATAAATAAAATGCATTCTTAGGCCAGCAGCTCACTCTTGTAGTCTCAGCTACTCAGGAAGCAGAAATTGGGAGGATCACTGCTCAAGGCCAGTCCAGGCAAAAAATTAGCCAGACCCCACCTCAACAAATAAGCTGGGTATTGTTGATCATATCTGTAATCCTAGGTGCTCAGGAGGTAGAGGTAGGAGAAATTTGGTCTGAGACTGGCTGAGGCAAAAGCAAGACCCTACTGAAAAATAAACCAAAGCAAAAAAGTGCTGGTGGTGTGTCTCAAGTGATAGAGTATCTGCTTAGCAAGCATGAAGTCCTGAGTTCAAAACCTCAGTACTACCAAAGCAACAACACATCATGTTATCTGTGAATGCCTTGTTCTTTCTTTCCAATATAAAAAGGACTTAGAACTAGGATTATCTCAATTCACAGCCTGGCACTTGCTAGATAAGTACACTAATACTTGAGCCACATTTCCAGCCCTAATAGCATTATCTTACATAAAGAAAATCCTGAAGAGTCCAAAAACCTATGAAAGCTAATAAACTAATTTGCAAGAAAGTTACAAGATCTAAGATCACCACTCACATATCAATTATTCCTACAAGAAACAAACAATCCAAAAATGAAATTAAGGGCTGCTGAGTGTCTCAAGTGGTTAGAACACTTGTCTAGCAAGCATGAGACCCTGAATTCAAAACCGCAGTGCAGCTGGGTTGCAGGGGCACACACCTGTAATCCTAGCTACTCAGGAGGCAGAGATCAGAAGGATTGAGGTTCAAAACCAGCCCAGGCAAATAGTTCCTTGAGACCTTATCTCAAAAAACCCTTCACAAAAATAGGACTGGTGGAATGGCTCAAAGTGAAGGCTCTGAGTTCAAGCCCCAGTACCTCAAAAAAAATCAACCCAAAACCCCAGTGCAAAAAAAAAAAAAAACCAACACACACACACACACACATGCACACATAAACATGAACACACACACAACACACAAATGAAACTAAGGGCTGGTGGAGTGGCCTCAGGTAGCAAAACACCTGCCTAGGAAGCATGAGGCCTTGAGTTCAGATCCCAGTATGACCAAACCAAAAAAACAAAAGCAAAAATGAAATTAAAAAAATAGTTCTATTTACTATAGCATAAAAAATGTCAGTCGTGGTGGTGATTCATGCCTGGCGTCCCAGTTACTTAGGAAGCTTAGGAAGGAGGACTTTTTGTGTGTGTGTGTGTGTGTGTGTGTGTGTGTGTGTGTGTGTGTGTGTATGTATGTGGGGGAAGGTTACTGGGGTTTGAGCTACAGGGCTCATGCTTGCTAGGCAGGCATTCTTATCACTTGAGTCACTGAACCAGCCCTGCTTCCTTGATGTTTTCAAGATAGGGTCTCATGAATTGTTTGTTCCAGGTGGCTTCAAACCTTGATCCTCCTGATCTCAGCCTCCTGAGTAACTAGGATTACAGGTGTGAGCCACCAGTGCCTGGCTAGGAAAGAGGATTTCTTGAGCACAGGGTTCAAGACCAGCCTGGGCAACATAGCAAGATACCATCTCAAAATAAAAGGTCATACTCAACCTCCTTGTCTGAGATGACCCACTTTCAGCGTATTCTTTTCCTAATAAAGTTTACTATCACTTTCACTAAAAATAAATAAATAGATAGATAGGAAGGAGGGGTTAAGAGAATATAGTAGAGGGAGTGAACTTGTACAAAGTACACTGCATGCATCTATGGAATTATTACAATGAAACTCCCTTGTATTATTAGTGGATGCTAATAAAAAATGAATAAAACAAAAAATAAAATACTTGGGGAGTAAACTCAACCAACAGTGTGAAAGAATTTTACACTGAAATCTGTAAAACATTGCTGAAAGAAATTAGAGCACCTGAGTAAATGGAAAAGCATTGCAGAAATAAACCCATACATATACAATTGATTTTGAACAATGGTGCCAAGAATATTTAATTTCAGAAAGAATAGACTTTTCAACAATTGGTGGTGGGACTTGTTATTTACATGCAATAAAATAAACTGGACTCTTAACTCATACCATATACAAAAAATAAATTGAAATGGATCTGGCTGGGAATGCAGTTCAGTGGCAGACCACGTGCCTAGCATGTGGAGGCTCTGGGTTTGATCACCAGCATCACATTAAAAAAAAAAAAAGGGGTGGGGGCAGGGGGGAGAAATGACCCGAGCCTTGTATGCACATATGAAAAAAAAAAAAAAAAAGACAGAATGGAAAGAAAGGAAGAAAGGATCAATGACTTAAAATATAAGAACAAAATGAAAAAAATTCTTTAAAGCATAGAGATAAATGAATATTCATGACCTTGGATTTGGCACAAGCAAGAAAAGGAAAAAGATAACTTCAATAAAATCAATTAAATCGCTGGGCATAGGAGAGAATACCTTTAAGCCTAGCTACTTGGGAAGCAGAGGAAGGAGGGTCTAAAGTTCCATACCAGCCTGGCCAAAGTTAGTGAGACCTTGTCTCAAAAACAAAATATAACCCATCTCCCATAGTTCACACCTGTAATCCTAGCTACTCAGGAGGAAGAGATCAGGATGATCCTGGTTCAAAGCCAGCCAGGGGCAAATACTTTGAGAGACCCTATCTCCAAAAACCCCATCACAAAAATAGGGCTGGTAAGAGTGGCTCCAGGTGTAGGCCCTGAGTTCTAGCCCCAGTACTGCAAAAAAAAAAAAAAGAATTCCAAATAGTGAATTGTATGGTAAATAAATTACCCATCAATTTTAAAAAGCAGTGAAGCTATTACAGGACAAAGTTCTTCCAGCTAATTGTGCTAGATTAAAAAAAAAAAGAAGAAGAAACAAAATGGCGGCTGCTCTAGTCGGATCACGTGACCGCCGTTCGTTTTCTTCCCTCTGTAAGGACAGCTTTTCCCTCAGCAGTAGCGCAGAGCCACAGATGCTCATTGTTAAGTGAAGCCAAGGTAACCCTTCTCAGGCGCGCTCCAGTTCGAGTTGCGTAGTGAAAGGGGCGCCCAGGGGAGCGCGCACGCAGAACGTCAAGCCGTACGCGTCGCTCCTCCTGAAGATGGGTAGGAGGAGCGGCGTGAAGGAAAAGGGGGAAGTTGGCGCATGCGCACGAGCCTGACGTGTTTGAAATGGCTTCGGTGTTAACCGGGACCCGACTTAGGTGAAGGTCTGGTCAGCGTTTGGTTGGAGCGGTGGGCTGCTGAGCCAGGGTCCTTAACATCTTAGCGGATCCGCGGAAGGGCTGGGAGTGCCTGCTGTGGTGACACGGCAGCTGCAGGCCGGCCACGGTGGGGCTCTCTTGGGACCGAGGCGGGAGGGACGCGGTCCCTTTTGTGCGGGTCGGAGCAGGCCCCGCGCGGCCCACCCCTCCCCCACCGCCGCGCTCTTCGCTGTCGGCCCGCCCGATGCCCCCAGCGCCCCTTTTTTCGGTCTCGTGGGCCCATCTGCCATTCCTGGCACTGGGCCGATACGGTGTTAAGGCTTCCGGGCCCCGGGCGTCGGGGGGCTCGCGGGGGTGTGGGGTTCGGGAATGGGATGGAGGTTTTCTCGGTCCCGCCCGGGGATTAAGAGGACCAGAGCTATAAGTGACTCCCCCCACATTCCCGTCGGCGCGTCAGCCGGTGTACTGGGGCGGTGGGCTCCGCCTTCCGCGGACTTCGGCCGGCGAGAAGCCGGCCGGGAGGAAGATGGATGGCAGACTCGCACGTCCGAGTCGCAGCGCCCGAGATGCGCGGGCGGCGGTCCTTGCCTTTTCAGGCTTGACTTTGGGGGAGGGGTCTGCGCAGTGGTTCTTCAAGGGGCGTGCGTTACCCCAACTGCCTCTCCCCTTGATGGAAACCCCAGTTACTTCCCTACGAGAAAGCAGGGATGTTCGTTATTAAAATAGTATCAAAGTGCCTTGATTCGGGTCTTGTCTCAGTTTCTGTAATTGGTTTCACCACTGCTCTGGTCGTCTCTCTCCAGCTTATTGCCCACAAACAAACGCCAGGCTGTATTTCCCGTGAATATAATATTGTGAGTTTGTTAACCATCGGATAAATCACAGCAGACGGACTTCTGTTTGAATGTGACGATTTGTAGTCACAGAAGGAAGTGCCTTTCTTGTAAATCTACCCCTAATGTGATCTTTTAAAATAGGGGACTTGTGGTGATTTAGTAGATGTAAAATGTTCTTGCTGTATTTCAAATGTTCACCTGCAACCTTCCTTACTTGTAATTGTTATTTCTTCTTAGAAGATGTCCTTGATACATTAACTATTTCTTTCAAATACCCTTTTGTGATACTTGTGGTTTGGCTAATCTTTGAAACATGGATCCTTTCTTAATAGATCGCTGCTATAGAAGAGAAACAGTGAAGGTTTTTTTCCCCTTGCATCATGGCTCAATTTGGAGGACAGAAGAATCCGCCATGGGCTACTCAGTTTACAGCCACTGCGGTATCTCAGCCAGGTCAGGCTCCTGAACACGTGCGATGTAAATGTGTGGTAAGGGGGGGACCCTATCCTAACTGTGTTGATTTAGCGTATGTCTACTATGGTAAAATATTTGCAAATGATGCAGAGGCAGGAGGATTGTGAGGCAGAGGCCAGGCTAGGGTGTAAGGCAAAACCGTGTCTCAAAAAACTGAAACAGGGCTGGCGGAGTGGCTCAAGTGACTCCATAAAGCACCTGCCTAGGAAGCATGAGGCCCTGTGTTCAAGCCCCAGTATTTAAAAAACAAACAAAAACAAAGCATATGCTTTGGTGAATGTCATTATAACTAAATATTTTCATATATCATTTCCATTATCCATGAATTCCTAAAATAGAAATGTTGAATCAAAGACTAAGGCTTTTAATAGAACTTGCCCTGCAAGAGGTGGGGTTTGATCCCAAGCACCAGTACCTTTTTTTTTTTTTTTTTTTTTTGCAGTACTGGGGTTTGAACTCATGGCTCCACCAGCCCTATTTCTGTGATGTTTCTTTTGGAGACTTCGATCCTCTTGATCAGCTAGGATTATATGAGTAAACCACCAGCACCCGGCTTGTTTATCTTATTTTTATATTTTTGAGGCAGGGTCTTGGCTGTGTTGTGCTTGCTCACCTTGAACTTGCAATCCTCTTGCCTCAACTTGGATATCCAGTGCTTGGATTATAGGCGTGTTACATCATGCCTGGATGCATTTTTTACGTACATATAATAAACTATTAGTTTAGGGTTTTGAAATGAGTGTCCTAAGTATTCTAGGAATGTGGTTTTCAGTACTCAGAAAACTTGCTGCTTATTTTGTTGATTTGAGTGTGTTGTTTTGGTGTTTTTTTTCTTTTGTGGTACTGGGGTTTGAACTCAAGGCTTCACACTTGCTAGGCAGGCCCATTACCAGTTGAGCGACATCTTCAGCCATGTTGTTTGTTTTGGAGACAGGGTCTCCTTTGAACTCTTGATCCTCCTGCCTTACCCTCCTGAGTGCTTTAATCAAAGGCGTGCACCACTATTCCCTTCTATTTTTGTTTTGATCCATATCTTGTGCTAGTTCTTTGCTGTGTTTTACTTAAAATACCTGTTTTGTAATTTGAGGTTACTTGTTGAGACATTGCTGTGATCTGAGTGTTCTAAAACTTGAGAGAAATAAACAGTTATCTAGGTGACACCTAGATAACTTAAACACCTTAGGGATTTTGTTTTAATTACTTTTTTTTCCCCTGCAGTACTGGGTTTTTTTACTCAGGGCCTACACCTTGAGTCACTCTGACAGTCTTTTTTTGTGATGGGTTTTTTTGAGATAGGGTCATGAGAACTATTTGCCCCCACCTGGCTTCAAACCAGGATCATCCTGATCTCTTCCTCCTGAGTAGCTAGGATTATAGCCATGATCCACTGGTGCCTGGCTTGGATTTTAATTACTTAAATGAAGGTTGCAGACGTCTTTTTTTTTTTTTTGTATGACAGTGGTTTGAACTTGCAAAGCAGGCACTTGAAAAGTGGGCCCTCTACTACTTGAGCCACACCTTCAGCCCATTTTTGCTCTGGTTATTTTGGAGATGGGAGGTCTCTGAAATTGTTTGTCTGCACTGGCCTTGAACCTTAATCCTCCTGATCTCAGCCTCCTAAGTAACTAGGAATATAGGCATGAGCACCCACACCTGGCTCCCATCTTTGTTTTTTAAGATTGAGCAAAGGAGATTCCAAACTTTTATTAAATATGTCAAAGACAAAGTCAATAGTAGTAAATATAGGTCTCTCTTTTTTTTTTTTTTTTTTTTACTTCTTAGGTCTCTCTTTTTTGTAATTGACAGTAGAGATTCCAAATGTAAATTTTTTATTTATTTATTTATTGTGGTTCTGGGATTTAAACCCAGGACCTTGTACTTTCTAGGTAGGCACTCTACTGACTAAGCCACATTCCTAATCCCTGCACATAAAATCTATGAAGGCTTATTGTTAATACGTGTTTTTCCTCATCCTCAGAGCATTTACTTGTGCTGTCATCCCATGGGAGCTCAAATGGTAGAGTGTCCTGCTTATTTTCGACCAGTGAACTTTAACTTAACCATATTATAACCACTCAGTTCCTTGTCTCATTATCCTGAGTTGAGCATGCAACTCATGTTTATGCAGTTAGAGCTTTGTTTACTCTGTTTTATGATTTGGAAAATTTTGATGTATAGATGACATGTATTTGAAGTCATGTAGAAAGCTTAGATATTAATGTTGGGCAATATAAAACATTAAAAAAGGGAGTAGAGCCAGGCTCCAGTGGCTCACACCTGTAATCCTAGCTACTCTGGAGGCAGAGATCAGGAGGATGGAGATTTGAAGCCAATCCAGGCAAATAGTCCTAGAAACCCTATCTTGAAAGAAAACTATCATTGGTAGAGTGGCTGAAGTGGTAGAGTGTCTTCCTAGCAAGTATGAGATCCTGAGTTTAAACCCCCTTGCTGGAAAGGGGGAAAAAAAAAACCCAGAAAAAAAGGATATATGTATATGTATATGTATAAAACCCATATTTCAACTGTTAGGATTGTCTGTGTCTGCATTGTCGACATGAGGCTATTAAACTTAAATTCATGAAAATTAACAAAATTAGAAATTTAGTTCCTCAGTTACACTAATCATAGTACACAAGGCTCAAAAACTACATGTGGAGAGCTGGGGGCCTGGTTCAGTTGGTAGCACATTTGTCTAGCATGTTTGAGGCCCTGAGTTCAGACCCCAGTAATTGCCAGAAAAACAAACAAACAAACACTCACATGTGGGAACTCAGGGCATGGCTCAAGTGGTAGAAGACTTGCCTGGCAAGCAATTCCCAGTACCACTAGGGGAAATAAAAAAGCCACATGTGGTTTTATAGTGGCAATATAGTGGCTACTATATTAAACACTGTATACATAGAACATACCCGTCCTCACAGTGTGTTCTCTTTCATTTTGATTTTGAGTTTTTGAGACAAGGTCTTATTATGTAGCCCGGGCTGACTCCAAACTGACAATCAGTAATTTCTTCCTGGTTCTTCCAAGCCACAGCTGTTTACCACTATACCTGGCTCAGCATATTACACTTTTTGTACATTGCTGCTATTAAGAAAATGTAAATCCTTAACTAAAACAGTGTTAAATGGGGTTCTTACACTCTCTTAATGTTTGGGAAGGCTTAAGTGATAGAGCATATGCCTACCTAAGCCCTGAATTCAATCCCCAGTAACACCCCCCCAAAAAAATTAAGAAAAAAATGAAAAGATATAATATCCTAAGCCAGGCCATCATGACATGTACCTGCATTTGCAAGTACTCTAGAGGGTGAAGCTGGAGAAGTTGTTTTGGATCAGCCAGAGCACCTTAAGCAAGACACATCTTTAAAAAAAAAAAGATAATGTCATAGGAGACAATACTTCTTCCTGGGAAGTGATAACTAGTGCCTCTGGCTGCAGTCTTCTCTACTCATAGTCTAATTAATCTATTAGTTGATTCTTACAGTCAGTGGAAGGTATCATTAAACAGTGCTATGATTTTTTTTTCCATCCTTAATTGCCTTGGATATTAATCAGTTTTCCATTTCCTTTTCTTTTTTCATTTGTGATGTTTCGGTTTGAACTCAGGTCCTACACTTTACGCCACTCCACCAGCCCTTTTTTGTGATGGCTTTTTTCCATATAGGGTCTTGAGAACTGTTTGCCCAGGCTGGTTGAACCTCAGTCCCCCTAATCTGTGCCTCCTGAGTAGCTAGGATTACAGGCATGAGCCACGGGTGCCCAGCTACTACTCCCTCTTTTTAAGTTTTATATTGCCCAAAGTTAATATTTAAGCTTTCAACATGACTTAAAATACACATCAGCTACAGATCAAAGTTTTCCAGATCATAAAATTTAGAGTTAAGAAAAGCTCTAACTGCTCTGCCAGTCCTTTTTTAATTGGATATTTTTTGAGATAGGGTCTAGTGAACTATTGACGGGGGCTGGCTTCGAACCTTGATCTCTACCTCTTTGTAGCTGGGATTACATGCATGCACCATGGGTGCCTAGTTTTTTCTTTTTCTTTTTTTTTTTTTTTTGAGATACAGATTTTTCCCTTTGTAGTACAGGCTTGCCCCAAATTTGCCGCCACCCTGCTTTGGCCTCCCAAAATGCTGGGATTATAGGCACATATTACCATGCCTTTTTCATAAGTATTTTAGTAAAAAGTCATGATAAAAATTGAAGTGCCTAACGTATGTGTTAATAATGCCTACGATGTAACTTCCCTTTTTCTTAATAAAAATGTTTATTATTAAAAATCGTCATAGTGACAATTGCAATTGTGCTTATACTGGTTAGATCACTCCATTGTCTCTTCCCCTCAACCCTCTCCTTGCACCACTTAAAGAGGTTTGCAAGAAGTTTCTTTGTTCTATTTCATATGAGTATACGAAGTCCATCAACCATATACCCTCACCTTAATCTACTTCATTCACCCCCCCTCCTCCCACTAGTACTCCCCCCTACACACATTGTACCTATTTTACAGTCCTGTTTTTCATTATTAATATTTAAGTTGATGTTCAAATAGATTTCTCAGTGTATCCCTGCTGTGGGTATTGGTCCATTCATCCCCTTCCATTACTCTTCCTTACCTCTTAACCCCCCCATCCCTCTCAACTTCCCTTTTAAAGAGAACTCCCAGTCAGGCACCTATACCTCACACCTGTAATCCTAGCTACTTGGGAGGCGATCTGGCAGACTGAGGCTTGAGACCAGCCCAGGCAAATGATTTGTGAGACTCCATCTTAGTCTAAAAATAACTGGAGCAAAATTGGCTGAAGGTGTGGCTCAAGCAGTAGAGTACTTTGCAAATTCATGAGTTCAAACCTCAGGCCCACCAAAAAAAAAAAAAAAGAAAGAAACATAAGACATAGGAAGGCACAGGGGAGGCTGAGGCAGGATTGTGAGTTCCAGGTCAGCCTGGGCTCCATATGGAGTTCTAGGTCAGTTTAGAATAAACTTGAGATCTTGTTACAAAGTGCGAGAAGTATGGACAAAGTGATTGTGTGCTTATCTAGTAAGCACAAGGCCCTGAGTTCAAACCCCATTACCACCACCAAAAAAAAAAGAAAATTCCCCATATCATTGTATTGTTTTTTATCTAAATGAAGCTGTCTTTCAAAGTCTTTTATTTTTTGAGGTTGCTTTTTCGTATGCATCCATATGTGGTGATTTGATGGCATAAAAGACTGACATGGGAGTGTGGTGGATTTATGTATTTATTTTTTGGTGGTTCTGGGGTTTGAGCTCAGAGGACCTCTTGCTTGCTAGTCAGGCACCCCAGCCCTTTTACTTTAGTTATTTTTTGAATAGCCTCTAGTGTTTTTATCTGGGTTGGCCTGGACCATGATACTCCTATTTTTGCTCTATTTGTGTCTGGGATGACAAGCCACCGTGCCCACTATTAGTTAAGATGGGCTCTTGAACTTTTTGCCTGAGCTGGCCTTGAAATTTGATCTTTCCAATCTCTGCCTCCTGAGTATCTGGGATTACAGGCATGAGCCACCTCCCCATGTTTTCCTCCATATTTTTTATTAACTCATATGTATAATTTAAAGGCTTTAATTATGATACTTCCTTATGTATTCTTGTATATTTTAAATCATCTCTAGATCACTTAATACTTAATACAGTGTAAATGCTATCTGTACCTCTGTAGGATTACAGGTGTGAGCCACCACCCCTGATATTGTTCAAATATTTTTGCCCAAGGTTGGTTGAATTTGCTAATGCAGAACTCACAGATATAAAGGGCTGACTATTGATTTGATATCCTGTGGATATATACCCAGTAGTGTGATTGATGGATTATGTGATAGTTTTAATTTTAATTTGTTGAGCAACCTCCATACTATTTTTCATAATGGGTGTACTAATTTATATTCCCATCAACAGTGGCCACATCCTTGCCAACACAAAAAAATCCTTTTTTGTGAGTGTGTGAGGGTTACTGGGAATTGAACCCATGATCTTGCACATGCATCAAAAGCACTACCACTGAGCTAAATTTGCAGCCACAGATTGTCTCCTTTTATTTATTTATTTTCAGTACTGGATTTTGAACTCAGGGCCTACACCTTGAGCCACTCCACCAGCCCTTTTTTTTGTGATGGGTTTTTGAAGATAGGGTCTCAAACTATTTGCCCAGGCTGGCAAGGATTATATGTGTGAACCATCAGCACCTGGCTTATCTCTTTTATAATAGTAGTTGTAGTAGGTATGGTGTGATATTTCATGATTATTTCCTTGATTGTTGGTGGTGTTAAACATTTTTCCATAAACCTGTTGGCTAGTTGTATTGCATCTTTTTTTTTTTGGTAGTACGGGGGTTTGAACTCAGGGCCTCATGCTTCCTGGCAGGCGCTCTTCTACTTGAGCCACTCCACCGGCCCTCTTTTGTTTTAGGTATTTTGTTTGTCTTGAACTGTTTGTCTGGGCTGGCTTTGGACCATGATCCTCCTGAACTCTGCTCCCTGAGTAGCTAGGATTACAGACTTGAGCTACCTACACCCCACATGGTCTCATTATTTTAGACTCCCAAATGATGGGATTACAGGCATTCACTACTCCACCCAACTAGCTTTTTTGTTTTATATGATGCTAGTTGTTTAATTTTGAGTTTCTTACCAGATCTTATGATTATTAAGCCTATGGCAGAATAGAGGTACATGAACATTTTGTCCAATAGAAAGCTTTAAGGGTGGCTTGCTTCCAGTAACACTGCTGTGCTGGGGATCAAAGGTAGGGCCTTTACATGCTAAGCTAGTGCTCTACCACTGAGCTCCATTCCCAGCCCAAAGCAATAAATTTTAGGATAGTAAGATAGATAGTTTTCTATTTTTCTTTCTTAAGTTACTTCTTAACTAGCCTCTTGGTCTAGGTAAGTTTCATTGTGTTACTCTTGTTTAACTTTACAAAATAATCTTTCTTAGCCTGGCACTGGTGGCTCACGCCTATAATCCTAGCTGTTCAGGATGATGGAGGTTCACAAAGCCAATCCTGGCAAATAGTTCGAGAGACCCTATCTTGAAAATACCCAACACAATAAATAGGTCTGGTGGTGTGGCTGAAGTGGTAGAACACCTTCCTAGCAAATGTAAGACCCTGAGTTCAAATCCGAGTACTGCCAAAAAAAGAAAATGTTTCCTTACATTTAGCATGGCATGAACATTTTATATAAAGCCTTGGGATCTGGAGGGATACAAATCAGTTAAGTTCAACAAGCATTACTAAAATTATTCTTTTAGTTTTTGGTAATTAAGCCCTCTTGGGAAATTCGTTGAAAGGATCCAAATAATCTTCATTACCTCCCCAATCCTCCTTTTCATTTTAGCTGCACTGGGTGTTCAGCAGCCATCACTTCTTGGAGCGTCTCCTACCATTTATACTCAGCAAACTGCATTGGCAGCAGCAGGCCTTACCACACAAACGCCAGCAAACTATCAGTTGACACAAACAGCAGCACTGCAGCAACAAGCTGCAGCTGCCGCGGCTGCACTGCAACAGGTAAGTTGGTAAGAAGTTTTAGCATGAAGTGTGGAGGAGTAGAAAATCTGAGTAGCTAGGCTTGCTGCCTCCATATTTTAAAGAACAAAGAATTGTGGCTTTTTGTTAGTGCTTTTTTGTCATGTAAAAAGTTACAGTGGAAGAAAATAAATTATACAATGTATGTCCAGCACTTACAGAAAAGTAGAGTTGCATATTTCAAATTATTAAATTAAGTTTTTAAATTGGACACTTCTTCACTTTATCTTTTTTTATTTATTTTTTATTCATTTATTCACATGTGCATTCATTGTTTGGGTCATTTCTGTCCCCCTGCCCCTTCCCTCTCCCACTTCTTCACTTTAATTTGGAAAAAAATTACTGCTTGATGGCGTGTAAGTATTCACCATTTTATTTATTTTAGGTGAAGTTAAGCTCTTCTAGGAAATTTCTCTCAGATCTATTTTGTATGTGCTTGTATATATGTATCTTTATGTGCTTATGTCACTTTTTTGAAAATGAATAAAACTATTATCCATATTTTTCTTTGAATAATATACATTTTTTTAATCTTTCAGCAGTATTCTCAACCTCAGCAGGCCTTGTATAGTGTGCAGCAGCAGGTTAGTTTTTATTTTCCATATTAAAAATTGACTTTTATCAGGTACCTTAATGTGTGACGTGAGTTTTTTGTGATGGGGAGAAGGGGATATGGAGAAGGAGAAAAAAGAATATGTCTAAAGGAGCGTGAGATAGGACAGAGGCCCTAAAAGCTCAAATTTTCAACTGTTGCCATTCCTTGTACATGTTTCTTAGAAAATATGGTGATTCTGGAAAGAACCAGTCTGTTATTGAGTCTTTGGGTTTCTGCTTCTATTTGGAAGCTCTGAGGGGCTGGTGCAATAGCTTAATCGATAAGAGTGCCTGCCTACCAATTCTGAGGCTCTGAGTTTAAAACACGGTTCCACCAAAAAATGAAAAAGAAAGAAACAAGGCCATGGAAGCTCTTAGCTTACTCTGGCAAAGTAGACTTCATGTGAAAATGAAAAGCTGTTTTCTTTCCTACTTGAAGTCTTAATCCCTACAAGGGCTGTAGCTTTCAGCCTTTATGTTTTTAGTTAACTTCCTTTTTCTCCCCCACTATGACGTTTTGTGAGGAAATCCAGTGTAGAAAATAATAAAATAGAACTGTTGAGAATGGGAAGAAGCCTCTCCTGGTTGTTCATATTCCAACTCCAAAGGTACATTTGAACAATTTGAATAGTCCTGATTTAGACTAAAAGCAAATTTCTTTGGTTCGTCTCCCTTAGACTCATATTCTAATCATTTTCCTCAAGATCTTGCATCTGTGAGATAGGGAGAAGTAACTAAACTTAAAGAGAAGATTGTAAAGGAAAGGCGAATTTGTCCTCTTCAAATAGATAGGTTCTAGCCTAAGCAACACTGTAGGCTTATCCATAGCTAGGAGACAGTGTTTAGTCATTTTGAGTGACATTAGAAAGTTTTAAGGAATGAGGGTGGAAGTGTTGCTCAGTGGTAAGTCATGTGCTTAGCATGCTCAGCACCATGCTTTATAGATATTTAGGACATCTGGTAGTCAAGAGAAGAAAGGGGAATACAAGAGAGAGGGAACAGAAACTGGACCCAAAGATAGTGTTGAGAGCTAGGAGTGCTGGCCCATGCCTGTAATCCCAAAACTTGGGAGGTTGAAGTAGGAAGATATCAAGCTCAAGATTGACTTGCCTAACATACTGAGACCCTATCTGAAAACTCGGGGAGGGGTGGATGGAGTTGGGAATGTAGCTCAAGGGGGCCTGGGTTCAATCTTTTAATTCCTCTCAGGGAGGAGAGGGGAGGGGGAGGGGACTGATGATTATATGAAGGAACATGAGGTTGCTGCTACTGCTTTGTTTCCCTTCCCCTCCTCTCCCTTCCCTTCTCTGCTTTCTTGTGGCATTGGTGCTCCAATCCATGGCCTCTTGAATGCTAGCCCAGTGCCCTATCACTGAGCTATATTCCCACACACCATGAGGCTGTGTAACCCAAGCTGGCCTCCTAATCCTTCTGCCTAAGCCTCTAAGGTGCTTGGATTACAGATGTGTACCACCATGAACAATGGAACTAGAATTTATGGATTAAGAACGTTCATGTTAGCCAGGCATGGCAACACAAGGCCATAATCTAAGCACTTTGGAGGCAAGGCAGAAGGATTATGAGTTCAAAGATACATAGTGAGACCCTGTCTCAAAACAAAAATAACAAAAACAAAACTCTTGTTCCTAGATACATTCATGGTTCAGTATCATCCATGAAGATTGTAGTACCCCACTTAATAATTGCTTTAAACTTCTTTTTTTTTTGGTGGTACTGGGGATTGAACCCAGGCCCTTGGCATGCTATCCCTGCTTCAGACTTGCTGGGGCTGAGCTCAAGTTGTAGATCACCTGTCTAGCAAGCTTAAGGCCCTGAACTCAAACCTTAGTACCACAACAAAACAAAACAGCCTGGGCACTGGTGGCTCGAGTCTGCAACTGCAAAGCCCTGAGTTGAAACCACAATCCCACTAAAAACAAAACCAAACCAAAAAACCTTCAGACGTATTTTAGTATTGTTGTGATGTACACTATTATGTATTAGGTTGAATCACATGAAAATGGCACTACTCAGCTAATTTCTACAGAAAAGTAGTATTTTGGTAAGATTTAGCCTTTAATATGTAGTGACTTCATGTAAAATGAGGTTTTTTTGGTTTTGGTGATTTGAATTCAGGTTCTCACACTTGCTAGATAGGTGCTGTACCACTTGAGTGAAACCTCCAGCCAAAACTGATGTTTTGCGTTAGAACTTCCTACAGGTTATTATTTTTGCTTATGTTGAATTTGTATTCCATAGTTGTCTGTCCCCCCATAGAGATTTCTTTTCCTTTCTAGTCAAGAAAGACTTCATTGCCATAAAAAGCATTATGTTAGAGTATATGTATGTTCTTTCATGCCATGGGTATAATGTTCATGGCAAAACTGATCATTTAGAATCATTTCTTAATATGTATAAAATGGCCAGGTTTTTTTTTTTTTTTTTTTTTTTTCCCAGACACAAGATAATCTCAAATTTGCCATCCTCCTACCTTAGTCTCCTGAGTGCTGGGATTACAGATAGGTACCAAAATACTTAGCCAGATTTGTTGCTATTTTTTGATACAATTACAGTATCAGTGATACTCAATTCTTTTCATGGCATTTAATACATTGTGGAACTAGACATCTTCCTTTTAGAGAATTGTGGGGGGGTTTTTTTGTTTTTTTTTTGTTTGTTTGATTATTTTGGTTTTTGGTTGACTTTTGCCAGGGGGTATGGCTTAAGTGATAGAGGACCTGAGTTTAAACCCCAGTACTGTCCCCCAAAAAGTCAACTTTGTAATTTTTTTTTTTTTTTTTTTTTTGCAGTACTGGGGTTTGAACTCAGAGCCTACACTTTGAGCCACTCCACCAGCCCTTGTTTGTAATGGGTTTTTTTCAGGATACGGTCTCACAAATTATTTACACAGGCTGGCTTTGAATCGCAATCCTCCTGATCTCTGCCTCCTGAATAGCTAGTGCTTATTGTTGAACAAGTTACTTTTACATATCAGGTCTGCAAGTGTTTAGAAGTTAGTTTTTCTGGTTTTTGTTTTTTTTTTTTTTTTTTTTTTTGCAGTACTGGGGATTGAAGACACATGCATTTTTCTTTAAGATGACCTAATGTTTGAAAGGAAGTTTTCTACTGGGTGTGGAAGTGCATATCTGTAATCCCAGCCCTTGGGAGGATGAGGCAGGAGGATCACAAGCTCAAGGCCCCCCTTTCCGTTTATACAGCATCCATGAAATAATTCTGATTGATCCTTTTTATTTCCTACTTTTCAGTTACAGCAACCCCAGCAGACCATTTTAACACAGGTTAGTTTTGTGTTATTTCTTTTGGATATCTGAATGAAGAGTAGACTGACTAATGATGTTTTATTCCTATTCTAGCTTTTCTTCAAAGTTTAAAGGTATTTTTTGGGTTAATGTAACATGGCAATATGTTGCTAAATGAAGATAAAGTGTACTGTGTTTTGGTTATAAGTCTAGCTATCATACATACAGTATGAAGTTAATAAAACTTGCTGGTTTGTTGCTTTCATGTTTTCTTTGTAGCTAATAATAATTGTAATTCTTTTGCACATTTTGTTCTTTAGTGCTACTTTAGAGATGAAGTTATTGTTAAATTTTCAATTTACTTTTTCAGCAACATTTGAAAGTTTTAATTTTTGTCATTGAGGGTGTAGCTTAGTGATAGTGTACATATTTAGCATATACAAGGCCCTGGTTTTTGATATGTAGCTCCACCTTAGGCTTCGTGGACCACTTAGAGGTTCTTTCATACTCTCTCATTCCTTACAAGCCTTTGAAAAGTACAAAAATTATCCTTTGCTTATTAACTGTACAAAGATAAGCTGGGCTTGATTTGGTCCAGGGGCCATAGTTTGCTGACCCCTAGTATATATATATATATATATATAATGAAATACTATGCAGTTATTGAAAAGGACCCAGGGTTTTTTTTTTTTTTTTTTTGACTGGGGGGAGGAGGTGGCGTGCTGGAGATTCAACTCAGGGCCTTGGATGTGCTAAGCATCCTCTCTACCATTGAGCTACAACTCCTGTCTCCAGAACTTTTTAATATGGTGATCCGGAATTATTTCTTCTATATGTGAGATAGAAAAGGTATGTCGTAGTATGTATTATATGCTTTCATATATTTAAGAGGGAGGAAGAAAATATGTTTTTGTTTATGCATATTTAAATAAAACAACTTTAGAAGGCCTTATGAGCCTGGACGCTTGTGGCTAACCCCTGTAACTCTAGCCACTTGGGAGGCTGATATTGGGAGGATCATGGTTGGAGGCCAGCCTAGGCAAGAAGTTCATGAGACCACATTTGCAAAAATAATTAGCAAAATGGACTGGAGATGTGGCTTAGGCAGTAGTGTGCCTACTTTGCAATCATGAAGTCCTAAATTCAAAACCCCGTCCTACCAAAAAAAAAAAAAAGAAAAAAGGCCTTATGATAATGAATGTGATAGGTAGTATAGATAGAGAACTGGATAGCTGAGGAATACTAATAGGAAAGAAGGTTTTTACTCTATAACTTTTTCTTTTTTTCTGTTTGTTTTACTTTTGGTAGTGGGGATTGAACCTAGGGCTTTATGCATGTTGGAGAAGCTATCACTTGAGCTATGCTCCCGGACCTCACTGTATAATTTCTTGTACCTATTCTTAGTCTTCAGTCTGTTTATCATTTAAAATTTTTTTTATTAGTTTCTACTTGTTTACAGGGGGAATTCATAGTGACAAATTTGATTAGTCTTATATTATACATTGGTTAGATCACCCCTATCTTCTCTCCCCCTCAATCCCCTTCCAACCCCACTTAGAACAATTGCAAGAAGTTATTTTTGTATATGAAGTCCATCAACCATATACCCTACCCTTAATCGCCTTCATTCACCCTCCCCCCACTAGTATCTTCCTACACACTGTACCTATTTTATAGTCCTTTCATTATTAATATTTAAGTTGATGTTCAAAGGGATTTCTCAATGTATCCTTGCTGTCAGTATACTTTACTTTGGCCCATTCAACCCCTTCTATTACTCTCCCTTACCCCTTTACCTATACCCCCCATTTTTCAACAGCTTTCAATACACATCCTTATATCCTCTACCTTTACAGATGTTATGTTGTACAATATTACTGATGCTCTATCATTCCCTTTTCCTTTTCCTCTTTCCCCAAATGCCAGAGTAGTTCTAGTATTATAAACATGTTCTACATAAGAGTTTGTATATAATCATGCTCGTTTCTGTGTATATATTCATCATTTTTTAAAAACAAAGTATACTAGAGTCAGGTGATGGTGGCTCACACCTGTCATCCTAACTACTCAAAAGGTAGAAATCAGGAACATTGTGCTTTGAAGCCAACCTGGTATAAGAGACCCTATGCTGAAAATGGCCAGCATAAAAAACAAGGGCTCATGAGTGACTCAAGTTGTAGAGCTCCTGCCTAGCAAGCATGAAGTCCTGAGTTCAAACCCCAGTACTACCAAAATAAAAATAAAAAAATAAAGTGCACTTCAACTGAGAAATCAACCTTTCTGTTTTAATTAGAGAACTAAAATCAGGGCTGGGGGTGTAGCTCAGGGATAGAGTACTTGCCTAGCATGCATGAGCCTTGGTTTAATTCCTAGCATTGCCCTCCCCCGCAAAATTAAAAAAAAAACAAAACTTAAGTACTAAAGTTGCCTAATATCTATCTCATATTTCTAATTCTCTATGGTAAAATTTCCAAATTAAGTAGAAAAACTGTAAAAGTATGTAAAAATTGCTTTCCTTAAAACAGTATCTCCCAAACTGTGCCCATAAAGCATCAGTACATTAAAAAATTTAAGAAATTTCTTGAGAAAATAATTTTGTGATCAGAATTTAAGAAATGTTGAGTTCTAGTGTGTGCACTGTGGTTCATACCTATAATCCCAGCCTCTTGGGAAGCAGAGATTGGATGGATCTCAGTTTAATGCCAGCTTGGGCGAAAAGTGAGACCTCATTTTGACAAAAGATATGATGGTTGGTACATGCCTGTTGTTACCCCAGCTATGTGGGGGTTGTAGGTTTGAGGATAGCAGTCCAAGATGGTCAGACCAGAAAAACATGAGACTACCTGAAAAAGACCAAAAGGAAAAAGGCTGGGGGGACTGGCTCAAGTGGTGGAGCTCCCTGAGTTCTAAACTCCAGTGCTACCCCAGGAAATAAGAAAAAAAAAATACTGAATTCTTTGTGGTACTAGGGCTTGAACTCAGAGCATTGAGCTTGCTAGGCAGGCTCTACCTCTTGAGGCACTCAACCATCCCATTTTTGTATTGGATATTTTCAAGATAGGATTTTGCAAACTATTTGTCCAGGCTGGCTTTGAACCTCCATTCTCCTGATCTCTGCCTCCTGAGTAGCTAGGATTATAGGCCTGAGCCATCAGCATCTGGCTTGAATTATTTTTACTCTTCAGGACTTTCCTGAGCCTTTAGAATGCTAGTGTGGATTTTGAATTTCTACGATGGATCTAAAATAGTTAATTTTTTTTTCTTTTTTCTTTTTCTTTTTCTTCTTTTTGGTGGGACTGGGGTTTGAACTCAGGGCTTTGCACTGGCAAAGCAGATTCTCTACTGCTTGAGCCACACTTCTAATCCATTTTGCTGTGGTTATTTTGGAGATGGGATGTCCTGAATTATTTTCCTGGGCTGGCCTTGAACTGTAGTCTTCCCTATCTCAGCCTTCCAAGTAGCTAGGATTACAGGCATGAGCCACCTGGGCTCGGATTAGATAATGGTTATTAAACTCATTATGCTTTTTCCCTTGGAGCAGCATGTAAGTACTCATCTAAAGAAACTTTCACAATTTTTCGGACTTGAATGTGTATATTTTGTGACTTCATGTAAAGCAATTTTTAGATTTTGGGGTCTGTTTTAAGTCATTTTTAATTTTTAGACGTTTTCATTTCAAGTCATTACCTGAATAATGTTGATTTTGTTCCGTAGCCAGCTGTTGCACTGCCTACAAGTCTTAGCCTATCTACTCCACAGCCTGCAGCACAGATAACTGTATCATATCCAACACCAAGATCCAGTCAACAACAGACCCAACCTCAGAAGCAGCGTGTTTTCACAGGAGTGGTTACAAAGCTACATGATACATTTGGATTTGTAGATGAAGATGTATTCTTTCAGCTTAGGTAAATTTCATTAGATGTTGACATATGCCTTCTTGTGTTTGGTGTAAATTATTTGGTTAATCATGGTGAAGATTATAATTTAGTTATTATTTTCTCTTTTAATCCTTCAGTTTGATTTTGAACCCAGGCCTCTTTTTGTTGGAGAATTTCATTAAAGATATAATTATGGCGAATTCCTTATAAATGTTTTATCAGAGTCTGGTTTCATTTTTAACAATATTCATGGGAAGACCCCATCAAATTGGGGGTTAAAATAGTTAATATTCTTTTTAATCAAACTTTATGTTTGAAATATTTGAAGATAGACTAACAATTATTTTGTAATTGAAAAATTAATACAATCAAAGGATTAATAGCCTAGCATTCATAATAGTACTTTCGTAGCATTGTTGTCGCGGCATGAAATGTGAATATCCTCAGATATTTCAAGTATATTTCTATTGAACTTATAAGTATTATATGTGGGAAATTAATTATTGTACAGTTTTTTTTTTTTTTTTTTGGTTAATTGGCTTTTCTGTTTTTCATCTCCATTTGTGTTCCAATGTCATAGCAATCATATTCTTGGGATATAAAAGAAAGTGGTGTAGGCTGAGGGCAATAATACTAGGAGAATATGAAGTGGTAAATTATTCTTTGGTGCGACTTGGTTTTGAACTCAGGACTTCACATTTGCAAAGCAGTAGCTCTACTGCTTGAGCCACACCTCCGGTCTATTTTGCACTGGTGTTTTGGAGATGAGGTCTCAAGAACTATTTGCCTAGGCTGGCCTCAGCCTCCCAAGTAGCTAGGATTACAGCCTTCTGGCAACTGGCTTCAAACCTTCTTGTTTACATTCAGAGGGTGAAATATAATCAGTTTAAAAATGAGTTTAGGGGTATACCTACATTTTTAAAAAAGCTTTCTAGGCTTCCATTTCAAGTACTTTTAAATCTTAAACATAAAAATCTTCTTTGGGGGGGCAGGGAACATCTCTTTTAATTATGTGTAAATGTAAATGTTTGAGGGAGAGAATTTCTTTTAATTGTTTTTTTTTTTTTTTTCATTTTTCTTTTATTATTCATATGTGCATACAAGGCTTGGTTCATTTCTCCCCCCTGCCCCCACCCCCTCCCTCTTTTAATTGTTTTTATATTTTTTTCCTAGTGCTGTCAAAGGAAAAACCCCCCAAGTAGGTGACAGAGTATTGGTTGAAGCTACTTATAATCCTAATATGCCCTTTAAATGGAATGCACAAAGAATCCAAACACTACCAAATCAGGTACATAAAATAATTTAGTTAAGTGTTACAGAAACTTAGTAATTGAGTCTTCTGATTCACAAGGAATTTTCTTTCTCTAAAAATTTTAATTTATTTCTTTTTGTTAAGAATCAGTCCCAAACTCAACCTTTACTGAAGACTCCTCCTGCTGTACTTCAGCCGATTGCACCACAGACTACATTTGGTGTTCAGGCTCAGCCCCAGCCCCAGTCACTACTGCAGGCACAGATTTCAGCAGCTTCTATTACACCACTATTGCAGACTCAGCCACAGCCCCTGTTACAACAGCCACAGCAGAAAGGTATTGCATGGAAGTGTCTTTGCTTTTTATTTCAGACTATTATATACATATATATATATCTAGTTGCTAAAACACTAAGTATGCTTTTAATTATTAAAATGACAGGGACTTCAAGAGAACATGGAATGAAGCTTAAATGTCCTCAGTAGAGCATCTTCTACCTACAGCTGTATGCAATTATTGTTATTTTGCTGCTTATAGTGATAAAAATAAGTTCAGTGAATAGGAAATTCAAAGATGGGCTGTTTATGGACCTGATTCCTTCTTTCTCTAGTTGGTGATTGTAAAGGAAGGAGGTGTTTTAGAGACTTCTTTTTATTTTTTCCTTTTGCTTGCTAGGTAAATGCCCATGTGAGCCACACTCTCTAGACTTGTTATACAAGTATATTAGCAACATTTTATGTACATGTAGAGTCTGGTAGTAACACTATAAATTGCTTATTGAATCACAGTGTATCAAACCTATGAACTCTTCTTCCTTTTTTTTTTTTTGGTGATAGTGGGATTTGAACCCAGGGCCTCATGCATGCTAGCCAAAACCCTAAACCACTGAGCTATATCCCCTGCCCTCTAGACATTTTGTTAAGAGAAACTGTTTAAAATGATAGTGTTGGCTAAAAGAAGCCCACTTAATTGCCATTAGAAAATATAATTGTGCCATTTTGGAAAACACATTCTGTTAACCATTAATGTAATGGAACATATGTAGCAACATGATAAAGTATATTAGATTATATTATATAGATTTTATATTTTATAATGAGTTAGTCAATTTCTCCCCTTTTTTTGGAGGTACTAGGGTTTGAACTCATGACCTCATGCTTGCTAGACAGATGCTCTTAATGAGTTATTATTAAATGAACACCCAAGTAACCACTATTCAGGTTAGAATATCAAGCATTGCTAGCTAATTCTTTGTTTTTTAATAGTTTTCCTCTTAAGTATATCTCCTAAATACACTTTATCTTTTATCTTTTTCTTTTTTTGTGGGTCTGGGTTTTGAACTCAGGTTGTTATGCTGGCAAAGCAGGTGCTCTACTGCTTGAGCCACAACCTCTAGTCCATTTTGCTCTGGTTATTTATTGCAGATTGAGCCTTATGAACTGTTTGCACACATAGCCTGGAACTGTGATCCTCCCAGGCTCAGCCTCCCAAAAAGTTATAATTAAAGGTCTGATTGCCTGGTGTCCGGTGCCTTATCTGATTTTGAACTGAGTGTGTGCTTCCATTTATATAATCTCTTGTGCAAGGGTTTGTTCACCATATTTATTGTATTATTCATTCCATGTGGGTCTAGCTTTCACTCTTGCGTGGTTTACCATTCTGCAATTGCCTGTTCTGTTAAACTTTTTTTTTTTCTGTACTATGATTTGAACTCAGGTCTTCACACTTGTGAGGCTGTTGTGTTGAACCTGTTTTGAGTGTTTCTAGTTTTTAGTTTCTGAAAACACTGCTATGAATGTTCTCATTATATATGTCCAGGAATAATGTGTTTGAGTTTTTCTAAGGTATATATGTGGAATTGCTGAATAATATCAAACACATTCACAGACTGTTTGGTTTTTCCAGGTAGCTTATGTTTAACTTTACAAATTCCGATTTGTTTTCTTCCTCATATTTTTCTTGACGAGCTTCTACTTTCACATTGCGAGTTTCAGCTTAAATATCATTTTTCTCCTGTTACGGGGTATAGATCAGTAGTAGATTGCATGCTTTCTGGGTTTAGTCCTAGACCCATCAAAAAATAAAAAGAAAAGTTACTCTGGAAGGGCTCAAGGAAGCATTGTTTCTGGTAATGGTATGCCCCATATACTTTATAAATGATTAATAGGAGCAATGAGAGTCAACAAAAAAGAATGGAGGGGAAAAAAGATGTAATAGTGTAGAGTTAGCTGAGTTGAGGGTATGCTAAGGATCATTTGCTGAAAGTACTATAAAGTTCCCATTGGCAATTACAATAACCATCAGCAGTACAGAACAAAAAGTATTCAATGGCATAATACTGCTTATTAAGAAATGTTTGTTGAGGCGGGGAGAGTGAAGGAAGGTGTTTAAGGTGACGGTGTATGGCAGATGGACTTCATATACTTATATGGAACAGAGCTAAGATACCTCTTGCAATTGCTTTAGGTGGGGTGGGGAGGGGATTGATGGGGAGAGATGATGGGGACAATGTAACTAATGTACAATATAAATCTAATCAGGATTGTCACTTCAGATCCCTCCCCCTGTATAATGAATATATCCTAATAACAAATTTATTTAAAAGATGGAAAAGTAATGTTTGTAAGTTACATGTTCTTTTTCCAACTTTATTTTTGCAGTACTAGGGTTTGAATTCAGGACCTTATACTTTCTAGGTGGGCACTCTGCCAGTTGAGCTACTCCTCTAGTCCTTTTTTGGTTAGTTATTTGTTGAGATAGATTCTCATGAACTACTTGCCCATGGCTGGATTTGAACCTCCATCTTCCTCATGTCTACCTCCTGAGTAGCTAGGATTCCAGGTGTGAGCCACTGGTGCATGGCAACAAAGAGTTTTTTTTGTTACCAACTGGGAGGCTACCCTTAAAATTAGTAAAGTATGGAACTGGAGGTAAACTCATCTCCTGAGGTAGTAATGAGTTTTTTCCTCATTTCTTTTTTACTTGTTACTGCTGCTTCCTTTTTTTTGTTTGTTTTTAATTCATTCATTCTTTTATAGCCTTTAAAAAATTTTTTTTTTATGTGGTGTTGGGCATGGACCCCAGGTCACTGAGCTGGTCAAGCATGCTGTCAATAGCTATATGTAAAACCCTTTTTGGTGCTTTAATTATCTGTATACAATTAGGGGGAAGCATTTTAAGCTGACTCCTATGTCTTTGTCAGTTGCTCCCATTAAGGGTCTGAGTACTTCTTATAGATGTCCCCAATGAGGGTGCTATTTTTATTTTATTTCTTTTTTCTTTGCAGTGCTAGGGTTTGAACTAAGGGTCTTAATACTTGCTGGGCAGGTGCTCTACTACTTGAGCCACTTGCCAGCCCAAGGGTGTTATTAAATTGAAATCTGCCTGTAAGTTTCTGGGGTGATGTTGGCCTTTAAAGAAAGTAAGCATCAAAGAACCATAAAAGAATGCTGGTGACATAGACATTGTTTTTTTCTGAGCCAAGAGCCAGTGGTTCATGCCTGTAATCCTAGCTACTCAGGAGGCAGAGATTGAAGGCAGCCTGGGCAAATAGTTTGAGAGTTCCTATCTCAAAAAAAACTCTACACAAAAAAAGGCCTGATGGAGTAACTCAAGGTGAAGGCCCTGACTTCAAATCTCAGTACTGGAAAAAAATACAATTTTTTTCATTCATCATGAAAGAGTCAGACTCACATTGAACTGTTTTTATGAAGCACAGTAGCTGAGATTTTTTTTTTTTTCCTGCAGAGCAGGAATATTGTAGAGTAATAATTCAAATGAATACTGTAGGGCTGGGAGCATGGCTTAAGTGGTAGGTGCTTAACTCAAATGCCAGTACCACCTAAAAAAAAGTGTCTGCCTAGCATGTGCAAGGACCTAAGTTCAAACTCCATTACAACAAAATAGACAAATAAATTAATAATAAAATAAATAAAAGTGAGCCCTAGTAGGCTTTATATAGAGAATATTTTCATCGTAGGCTAGTGGCAGGAAAATATGATCTAGATAAGGGATAGTGAATCCTATGTATCATGTTACTAGTCAAGAAGAATGAAATTACTTATGCTGTATCTTTGTTTCTTGTTTTGTATGATGTGTAATAAATCTGTTTACTGAGAAACCTGAAAATTGAATACTTCTATTGAGGTTAAACAAATTTTGAAGAAAAATACCTCTTTAATTCTTACAGAATGATGAAGTAATGAAAGGAAACGAGCATTTTAATTATCATGCATTATGAAGGACTTAGATACTAACCCTAATTATTCTAGTTATTTTGAAAATACTTGTATTTGTGCATAAGTTCTGGGCCTCAAACTTGCTAGGCAGGTGCTCTACCACTTGAGCCACTCTGCCAGCCCTGTTTTGTGTTGGGTGTGTTTTTGAGATAGGGTCTGATGAACTATTTGCCTAGACTGGCCTTGAATCTCAATCCTCCTCATCCCTGCCTCCTGGGTGGCTAGGATTAGAGACATGAACCAGCTGCGCCTGGTTGTGTGTAAATTACTGTAAATTTGTATTGTACCAAAGAAGGTAGACTTGTACTCTGCCATGTGGAAAATAAGTATGTATATCGTTTGCAAACAAACTGAAAAGATGTATATCATTTGCAAACAATTTAAAAAATTTTACATACTAGTCAAAATCATGACACAGTTCCTCTTCTTGCAAAAAAAAAAAAAAAAAACCAAAACATTAATTATGCTAACTTTGAAAAAAAATTTCGTAGCTTCCATTTGTTAGGCTGTCTTAATTCAACCCCATGGTGCTTTTGAACTTTGTTTAATAAGTTACTTTTTGTTTTTTCTGTGTTTTAAAGCTGGTTTGTTGCAGCCTCCTGTTCGTATAGTTTCACAGCCACAACCAGCACGAAGGTTAGATCCACCATCTCGATTTTCAGGAAGGAATGATAGAGGAGATCAAATACCTAACAGAAAAGATGACCGAAGGTATGCTTTAAAATATATATTGTGGATGGTGGTTTGGATTGTCAAAAATGTGAATGCATTAGTGCCACTGAGCTACTTAGAAATGGTAAAATTTATCTTACATGTATTTTTCCACAATTTTTTTTAACTTTTTTTTATTTTGGCAGTTTTTGTCAGTACAGGAGTTTGAACTCAGAACCTCATGCTTGCTAAGCAGGCGCTCTACTACTTGAGCCACTCCACCAGCCATTACCACAATTTTGATAAGTTTTCTATGGGTCTGGAGCCGTGGCTCTTGCATGTAATCCTAGTTACTGGGGAGGCAGAGATCAGAGGATCATGTTTGAGGCCAGCCTCAGCAAGAAGTTCACAAGACCCAATTTCAACCAGTAGGTGGCATGATGGCATGCACCTGTCACCCCCAGCTGTGTGGGAAGCATAAATAGAAAGATTGTGCTAGGCTAGCCCAGGCTACAAATGGGAGACCTTATATCAAAAATAAAGCAAAAAGGGTGGAAGTGTGGCTCAAGTGTTTAGAGCACCTGCCTCAAAAGTGTGAGGTCCTAAGTTCAACCCTCAGTACCACCTAAAAAAAAAAAAACAAAACAGTTTTCTGTGAAATCCTGTTCATATTATCATTCCATAATGCCAAAAATATTACTAATTTTAGAAATATTTGCTTTAAGTCGTGAAAGGGAACGAGAAAGACGTAGATCCAGAGAAAGATCACCCCAGAGGAAACGTTCCCGAGAGAGGTCTCCCCGGAGAGAAAGAGAACGATCACCTCGGAGAGTTCGACGTGTTGTTCCACGTTACACAGTACAATTTTCCAAGTTTTCTTTAGATTGGTAGGTTCTTTTTTTTTATTTATTTATTGAATTTCTAGTTGCATCATTTTGTATAGTTTTGTGTAGAATGTGTTAAATTAAGGATATTTTTCCTGCAAAATTCAGTTACTTACATTTAGTGTTCTTTACATAAAGGGCAGAAATTCAGTTTGAAAGAGCAATTTAGATGTCTATAAGGGAGTGTTATTTTTGTATATACATTATGCATACCAACTGTTTATAAAGGAAGCTCCTAGTAGATATTCCTTTGTTGTCTTTTTTTTTTTTTTTTCTTGGTGGTATTGGGGTTTGAACTCAGGGCCTCATGCTTTTGAGTATACATGCTCTGCCACTTGAGCCAGTCCACCAGCCCTGGATACGCCTTTGTAATGAAATTGTTCATTAAAGTTAAAATTATTTAACATCCAGATTTATTGATAACTTTAAGTTCTTTAATCATCCATTGTATATAATGAAGCATATGTAGAAACATAGACATTTATATTGTAAACGTGTGTGTGTGTGTGTGTAATCATAGATCAGGGTCACATTACTAAGCATTTCTGAGTTTGCTATGCAAAATCTCATATCAACTTGTAGAATTATTTTGTAAGGTTGAATTCATGATCTAATACACTTAACCCAGCATGTGGCAATTACTTAGTCTCCATAATTAATGATAGTAGTGTGTTCTGGAGGCAACAAGGTAATAGAGTAATAGATTAAAAAAACAAATTGATAGTATGATTTAAAAATATATGTATCTTTAAAAGCAGTATTCAAAACTATTTAGAGGCCAGTTCTTTTGCCTGAGCCCTGTAATCCCAGGTACTCTGGAGCCAGACATGCAAGGATCAGGGTTCAAAGCTAACCTGAGCAAAAAGTTAGTGCGGTCTCAAACCAGTAAGCCTGGCATGGTAGTAAATTTCACTAATCCCAGCAACAGGGAGATGTAAGTAGGATGTTTTCAGACCAAGGCTGGCCTGGGGCAAAAACATGAGACTGACTGTGACTGAAAAATAACTAAAAAGCAAAATATAGGGCTTGGATGTAGCTCAAGTGGTATAGCGCCTGCTTAGCAAGGGCAAGGTCTTCCTCAAACTCCCGTACTAGCAAAAAAAAAAATAAATAAAAGCAGCTACTTATCCTGGGCACATGTAAGACATTTCTACATTTCAACAATACATAATTTTAATATTCATAATCCTAGCCTCTCAAAACTTAAAATTTCTATACTAGTCTATATTAAGTAAACCTCTGTATTTTATCCAAATTGCTTAATCCCCAGAGCATTTTTCTTGGTGACTTTGCTTAATTATGTGGTCAAATCCGCAATTTTTTTTTTTTTTTTTTTTTTGCTAATACTAGAGTTTGAGTAGTTGAGGAAATCAAAATTGTCTTACATGATTATCTCTTGTTTTGTTATAAATTTTACTCCTATTGGGCAAAATACAACTCCATAAATTCTGATGTAAGGAAGCTTATACATAACTTTCTTTCTTGAAACAAAACTCATACTTTTTTATATTTTTATTACTCTGACAAAATTTTATAGCAGTTAAGTACAATTGTAACAGCAACCACAGTTGAAGCTTATCTATATTTGATTTCTGTGTGTGTGGCAGGGTGGTGGTGTTTTACCGTGCCAGGGAGCAAATCAAGTCTTGCGCATGCTCAGTAAGCCCTCTACCACTGAGCTACTTCCTGCCCTACCTATATTTCTTATTTTTAGGCTTCAGGTAAAGATACCTCTATGTACAGATAAGTTCATATTTCATACCCATATCTTCAGTTGTATTTACAAAAGTTAATATAGCTATCTTTTTTCAACTTACAAATTGTTGATGTTTTCCACTTTAATTCATTATGCTTTTAACAGACATCTTGACCTTATCAATCTGGTAGATAGATAAACCTTTGTGTTTTTCTAAAATATCAGTGCCAGATTTAAAAATGCAAGAAACTTATTCCTTCTTTACATAGTAATCAGGTGTGGATTCATAAATCTTTTACATAGAGGGGTATGGAGGTGTGGATAATCCAAAAAACATTAGGATTTTGCTTTCATATGGATTTTTGTATTTAATTTTTAATGTAAGTATGCTTGGTCCAGGAGCTTTACTGTGTAATAAAAATTGCATTTTTTCTATTCTTTATAAATCTGATGGGGAAGCACTCAAAATACTAATTTGGTACCACTCTTATCCTTTCTTTTATGCATTTTTGTATGAATTATAATTTTCTGAAGTAATACATACCTCCAACTGAGGCACAACTGCTTTTCAGATCTTTTCTGGAGCTGGGGTTGCAGTTAATTCATTTCAAAGTGTCTCCTCTAAGGAATTATAAGCTACATACAAAAAAATAGAGAAATAAAGGTAACCCTTAGTTACCATTTATTCAATACTGTGAACCTAGAAACTTGAAAATATGATTTTCATGTCTCCATGCAAATCTATAGGTCATTCATAATTGTCCATTTTTAGCTAGCTTTTTACCATGTCAGGTTAATATTTAGCTTAAAAATTAAGTGAATGTTTGTAAAATCTTTAATAGTAAGGCTGTTCATTCACTTCACTACTTATGTCTGTTTTTCAGTCCTAGCTGTGACATGATGGAACTAAGGCGTCGTTATCAAAATTTATATATACCTAGTGACTTTTTTGATGCTCAGTTTACATGGGTGGATGCTTTCCCTTTGTCAAGACCATTCCAGCTGGGAAATTACTGCAATTTCTACGTAATGCACAGAGAAGTAGAGTCCTTAGAAAAAAATGTGGCCATTCTTGATCCACCGGATGCTGATCACTTATATAGTGCAAAGGTTTGTATTCCACTATGATATACAGCTTAAATTTTTTAGCAGTTGTTCATAGTAAGATGATAATATGGAAACTCTTAAGAAACTTGTTACTTGATAAAGGACCTGAATATGTATATTTTCTCTTCTATGCTTGATTCTGTTATTGCTATTTAAGTAATTTAAATTCCTACTTCACTTCTTAAGCTATAAAACAATGGCTGTTGCTTTACCATTGTTTTAATATTTTAAACGTCATACAAATATGAAGATGAACTTGATATTATTGAGTGTTATGACTTCTTATAGACCCAGAACAAACTTAATGTTGGGATGTTGGGCAAATTTCCTAATATTAGTCTTCAGGATAACATTCAGTATTCAGTATATTTTACAGTAGTAGTTTTCTGTTTTTTTTCTTGAGACAGGGTCTCACATGTAACTCAGGCTGTCCTGGAATTCATCATCCTCCTGCCGCAGTCTCCCGAGTGCTGCAATTAAAGGTGTGAGCCACTATGCCTAGCTCAGTTTTCTTCTATTTTAAAACTGTTCAAAAAAAAAAAAAAATCACCCCATCCCTTGAAATGTTAAAGGTTTATAAGACATCTTAATAGCATTGTGCATTCCACTTTTATAAAAATATAAATTACATCTGATAAGTGAAGTTAATTAGTAGTACTTCTCATTTTTTTTACATTGCTTTAGACTTCTGACAGGATTGAATTATTTGACTATAATAGGTAATGCTGATGGCTAGCCCTAGTATGGAAGATTTGTATCATAAATCATGTGCTCTTGCTGAAGATCCACAAGAACTTCGAGATGGATTTCAGCATCCTGCTAGACTTGTTAAGGTAAAATGAAACATTGAACTTTCATTTAGGTGTATATTCACTTACCTTAGTTTTCATTGTGTAGATACAGAATTTAAAAACAGCATGTTGTTAATTTTGTTGGTTATTTTAATGAATAGTTTTAGTATTATTAAGGTATAATATTATTTAGATACTTTTTCTCATTGCAGATTTATCACTATTGTATATAACTAGTTCAGCTGTCATTTTGGTAGTGTGTTATGTTTGTAGCTTCTAAAGTCATAATAATGTGATTTTAGAGTGTTTTTGATGCCGTTAAGTTCATATTATAGCTTCTTTCTTAAAAAGAACTCTTTGAAGTATTTTAGAAGGATGAGTTATGATGTATAAATCCTATTCCATTGCTGAAATGCAGTGTGGAACATGATGAACTGAACTCTTCCTTGACTGACAGATACCGGAGGTAGTAAAAATGATACTGGGAAGGTTTGTACCCTTCCTTTTTATGTATTTATTTGTAATTTGGCAGGCTACATAATATATGTAAATGATTCTTTGTTTTGAATTAGTTTTTAGTGGGCATGAAAGGCAAGGATGAAGCCATGGCCATTGGAGGCCACTGGTCTCCTTCGTTGGATGGACCAGACCCAGAAAAGGACCCCTCTGTGTTGATTAAAACTGCTATTCGTTGTTGTAAGGCTCTGACAGGCATTGATCTAAGTGTATGCACACAATGGTAAGTACCAATTCATTTCTGGATTAGAAATGTTTTACTAATAGTTTATGTAGATGTTGATATAAATCAGCCTTTTCCCCTTCCTTATTTTAGCAACACTGATCATGCAGGTAATCTCAAAGGAAAATCCCCATTTGTAGCAAAAGTTTATTTGGTGCCAAAAATGTTTTTGGGGAAAGGGATTAAGAACTAATCAAAACAAATTGATAATTTAAATGTTTTATTATGCTGTACTACAGAAGTTGAATGTATGTTGAAAATACTTTTCATTTCATGCATAGCTGGAGAAGATCGTCAAGAGAGAACTTCATTTCATTATAATTCTTTTGTTATAAATTGATATAGTTGCTGATTATTTTTGTTCAGCCATATTTTCTCTTGAGGCTTATTTGTCCTGTGTATTTTAGTGTATTTCTTATGACTTAATTGAGAATATTCTTTTTTAGCACATGAAATCTGAACAGCTATCCAGCTTCTTCAGGTATTCTCTAAAAAAAGGGTAGCTCTGTATCAAACTTGGAAAGGCCTTGTCGGAACGTATTCTTTTGGCGAGTAAAATATTGTACAAATTACCAAAAGAGGAACTATGGCTTCTATAATTTTTTTTTCTTTAGACCAACCTCAAGTTCTTGCAGCAAAATTTCTTTACTTGATGTGCTACAAGTGAACTAGGGTCTTTAAAATGTATTTTAGAATTTTTTTTCCAACATGCTTCTTCCCTTGCAACAGGTACCGTTTTGCAGAGATTCGCTACCATCGCCCTGAGGAGACCCACAAGGGGCGTACAGTTCCAGCTCATGTGGAGACAGTGGTTTTATTTTTCCCGGATGTTTGGCATTGCCTTCCCACCCGCTCAGAGTGGGAAACCCTCTCCCGAGGATACAAGCAGCAGCTGGTCGAGAAGCTTCAGGGTGAACGCAAGGAGGCTGATGGAGAACAGGCACTGAACGCTAATCCCTTTTTCTATTTCCGCTTCTCACAGGCACAGGAACACAGGCACAAATGCACACCACACACTACACATAACAAACACACATGGAGGAACATAACTGGTAACAGCGACTGGTAATCCAGCTTTCAGCAGTATAGCTGAGTGTTCTTTTCTGTTAAAAATTCTGTCTGTTATGCTAACTTTTAGAGTGCTAAGACCTCAAAAGAATATAAGTTGTGCTTAAGTTGCACAGAATTTTGTTTTTATCATAGGTCTAGTTGCTGGAATCTGGGACCAGTTGTTGAACAAGATTCAGTATTAAGCCATTTTAAACATTTTGCCATTTTCTAAAATTTTTAAAATTTTCTCTTTCACGGTCATCAGTTCTAGTCATGGATATTTGAAATTGGACAACCACAAGTCTGAGAGATTTGAAATTTCAGGCTATGTGGCAACGTCTTTGGTACATTTCAAAGGTCTCACTACATCAGTCTTTGGGTGGCTTGAAAATTGGGGCAAAATCACACTGTGTGGTTAGTGGAGACCGGCAGTGTTTGTGCATCCCGATATCCTTTGTGTTGTAATTTATCACCCTTTTGTGTTTCACAGATCTGGCTTTGATTGGCTGATGAGTGTCTTTGTGATCAGTTAAAAGTGGTAGAATGTATGTACGTGGACTTGCCTAAATAATAACTTTAGGAGAAGACAATCTGAAACATTTGTGACCTTGCACAGATCAGCAACAGACTTTTAAAAATGAATTGCTTATATTTTAATTTTCAGAATAGTAATTATATTCTTAACTTTATATGTTAGGATGAAGAAGAGAAGGATGATGGTGAAGCTAAAGAAATTTCCACTCCTACCCATTGGTCTAAACTTGATCCTAAGACAATGAAGGTAACTTGGAAAATTATGGTTTTTAGTTTGGAATGTTTGAACAGGATTGAGTAATGCTGACGAGACTGAAGGCATTATTAAGTAGAAAATATTCAAGATGAAGTCCGCTAATTTTATATAATTACTACATATTGTATTTATACGTGTGTGTGTGTATATATATATAGGTAGATATAAATTAAGCAAAAGGTAACTATACATTAGTTCAGCCAATATCTATGGAATGCCTGCAATTTGCAACTGCTTATGGTATCAGTAACATTGTTTTCTGGTTTGGAAACTGACCAAGAAGGCATGATTTCTGTGCTTAAGTAACTTAAATTCAAGGGGATAGAAGAAATGGAAAAAAAGGTAATCCTTAATTTTTAAATTTTTTAATAAATTTAAATTATAGATAGATGTGTACCCCTAAACTGGAAAGAAATAATTTTAAAAACCTCTTTTGAAGCCGGGCTTCAGTGGTTCATTCCTATAATCCTAGCTACTCAGGAGTATCGCGGTTTGAAGCCAGCCCAGGCAAATAGTTCTCAAGACCTTATCTCAAAAAATACACAAGTCAAAAGGGCTGAGGAGTGACTCAGGTGGTAGAGCTCTTCCCTAGCAAGTAAGAGAAGTGAGAGGCCCTGAGTTCAAACCCCATTGGTGTCTCCCTCTCCCCCCAGAAAAGGAACTTGTGCTAGATTTTTACAGTACATCTGGGGATTTTTGTTTGTTTTTGGTGGGACTGTGATTTTAAGTCAGGACATCCTGCTTGCAAAGTAGGGGCTCTACCACTTGTCTACTCTGGTTGTTTTGGAGATGGGGGTCTCAGAAGCTGTTTGCATGAGCTGCTCTTAAACCTTGAGCCTCCTCACCTCAGTCTCTGAAGTAGCTAGGACTGTAGGCATGAGCCACAGGTGTTTGGTCTTTTTTTTTTTTTGGTAGGTCTAGGATCTTTCCAGTATATCTGGATCAGATATTTTTCTGTAATTTTGTTTCTCACCTATAATGTGACTGTATCTGTGGTCAGAAGATCAGAAACTGATCATTACTTGCTTTTGCAGTTTGTTATTTAACACATGAAGGTTGTTCTTTTGGTTGACTTTGGGTTTTTTTTTTTTTTTTTTTGTGATACTGAGGTTTGAACTCAGGGCTTCCCGCTTGCCAAGCAGACACTGCTGCTTTAATTTTGTCTTCAGCTCTTCTTTGCTCTCAGTTTTTGCCCAGTCGGGCCTGTACCATGATCCTCCTATTTTACCCTTCCCTCCACTGCTGGGATGTTAGGCACACCCTACCACACCCAGCTTTGGTTGACTTTTCTTCTCACCTCTTTTTTTTTTTTTGAGACATGGTCTCATTATGTTGGCCAGGCTGGGCTCAAGTGATCCTCTGCATTGGCCTCCTGAGCGGCTGGGATTGCAGGTTTGCACTACTACACCCAGCTAAATGAACCTTTTCATTTTCTTTTTGTGATACTAGGGCTTGCTAGGCAAGTGCTCTCTCTACCACCTGAGCTGTGATCCCGGCCATTTTTGGTCTTTGGATTGGGTTGTTTTTTTTTTTAAACTCAGTGTCTTGTGCTTGCTCAGCAGGCACTCTACTACTTGAACTACTCCACCAGCCCATGTGTTTGGGGTATTTTTGTTTTGTTTTTGAGATGGTCTTGCTATGTTGCCTAGGCTGGTCTTTCCAAGCAGAAGTGAGCCTCCCAACTCAACCTTCCAATGGTTGGATTGTAGGTATGTGCTGCCACTCTTGGCTCATTTTAAGTGTTGTTTTTTTTCCCGTTTTCAAATTATTTCTCTCTCTTTTTTTTTTTTTTTTTGTGAGATTAGAGTTTGAACTCAGGGCTTTGTATTTACAGTTTATAGCTTGAGCACCATCTCTAGTCCATTTTATTGTGGTTATTTCAGAGATGTGGTCTTGGGTACTGTTTGCTATGCTGGCCTTAAACCTTTATCTGGTGCCCAGCTAAGCTGTTTCTTCAAGTAGATTACCAGAAATTTAATTACTGAGTCAGAAGCTGGTGACAGAATGGTTGCCTAGCATGCACTATGCTCTGTGTTTGATCCCCAACACTGAAAAAAAAAAAAGTATAATTACTAGGGCAGGTAACAGTTTTTTATATATGGGGGGGTTGGTTGTTTCTTTTCATACATCTTATCATGTAATCCAGGCTGGCCTCAATCTCAAAATCCTCCTCCCAAGTGCTAATATTATAGGCTTGTACCTGGTTTAAAAATATTTATGCCTAGCTATTTGGGAAGCTGTGGTTGGGAGGATCCAATCTGGCAAATAGTTCTTGAGATTCCATGTCTAAAATAACTGAGCAAAATGGATTGGAGGTGTGGCTCAAGTGGTAAAACTACTACTTTGTAAGCACAAAGTCCCACCAAAAAAAAAAAAATAGATTTTTTTTTTTTTTAAATCAGACAAAAGATAATTATGGTTAGGTTGTATCTCATTTGCTTTTTCTGTGGTTTTATATTTCATATTTTTAGGTAAATGATCTCCGAAAAGAATTAGAAAGTCGGGCTCTTAGTTCCAAAGGATTAAAATCCCAGCTAATAGCTCGATTGACAAAACAGCTTAAAGTAGAAGAACAAAAAGAAGAACAGAAGGAATTAGAGAAATCTGAAAAAGAAGAGGAAGAAGAGGATGATAGGAAATCTGAAGATGACAAAGAGGTTTGTACTCAACATTTAGATACACTACAGTGTTATTAATAATGGTGTGACCTAAGTTATATGTGTGCATATATACTTTTTTGTGTGTTTGTGTGTTATTGAGGTTTGAACTGAGGACTTCATGCTTGCAAAGCTGTCGTTCTGCTTGAGCCCACATATATTTTAACTGATTGTATTACATGTAGTTAAGTTCAAACTTTTTTTTTTTCCTTGCTTTATAGTACTGGGGATTGACCTTAGGCCCTCATGCTTGCTAAGCAAGCATTATACACCTTGAATCACTCTTCATTACTTTTACTTTTTTTAGTTTGCTTCTCAGATAGGGTCTTGTGCTAAACTTGCTCAGGCAGGCCTCCTGAGTAGTGGGATTATAAGCATGAACTAATACACCTAGTCTAACGTTAAACTTTTCAATGAACAGTTTAGGGTTTTTTGTTACTGTTACTATTGTTTTTCCTTTATTTTTTTGTGTGGAGTCTGTTTTTTAGACAGGGTTTTTCACTTTTGTAGCCCAAGCTGGTTCGGACTCCTGGAAACTTCTGCCTTAGCCTCCAGGTTGTGGGATTAACAGGTATAATATCTATTCCCTGCTGTCAAGTTTTTGTAAGGTTTTTTTTTTTTTTTTTTTTTGGTGGGAGTATGGTTTTTGAACTCAGGGCTTGGAGCTTGCTAGGTTCTGCCATTTGAACCATTCCACTAGCCCTTTTTGAAAGTTCTGATAACGCCTTTATTTACATCAGAAATTTTTTGTTGGTTCTGGGGCTTGAACTCAGAACCTCACAATTGCTACTGCGGGTTGCTCTACACTCAAGCTGTGGCTCCCATTCTCTTTAGTTTTTTTGCTCTTGTTTGTACAATCTCCACCTCCTGAGTAGCTGTGATTACCCCTGTGAGCCACCACACCTGACTTTACTACATGTGGTTTTAAACATTTAACATTGTTGCAATCAAGATATAAAACAGATCTGGGTGCTCATGGCTCACGCCTGTCATCCTAGCTACTCAGGAGGCAGAGATCAGGAGGATCGAAGCCAGCCCAGGCAAATAGTCTTGAGAGACCCTATCTTGAAAAAAACCATCAGAGAAAGGGCTGGTGGAGTGGCTCAAGTTGTAGGCCCTGAGTTCAAGCCCCAGTACCGCAAAAAAAAAAAAGAGAGAAAGATAAAACAGTTCTAGGAATACCCTCAGAGGTTGAGTTCAGGTGAAAAGCTTATCCCAGAATTTTGCTGCTTCTAAAGCAGTGTGTTTGATTGGATCAGGTATTTATTTTAGAAATACCATATTGTGAGACAACAAATCTAGAATGTGAAAATTTTTATAAAACAGGTTTCCTGAACTTTAAAAATATGTATATATAATAACAGAATAAGACATGGCAATCAAATAATATAGCCTGAGAAACTTGAACTGGATCCCCTGGATTGGAAGAAAAATGTCGTTAAAGGGGCTAGAAGTGCTAACCTCGGTACTAAGTATGCACAGTACCTAGTATGTGGGGATTTGGGTGTCCAGCCCCATTTTAAAACCATAAAAACAAAAAGATTGTTTTGAGGAAGTAGGAAAAATTTGAATATGTTATTTTGGGTGACATTAGTTAGTATGCTGCCACAATTAAATTTCTTGAATCTTAAAAAGTTTAGTTGATTATATAGAGTTACCCAGTCAGGTAGGAGCTTATCCCCTGGAAAAATCAGTGTCCAAGGAATGTTGCACCATGGCTAGAGCCTGTAATCTCAGCTCTTTTTGGGAGTTAGAGATAGAGGACTTGGTCGTGGCCAACCTGGTTAAAAAATGTTAGGAAGGCCCTATTTCAAACAAACTGAGTTGTGGTTCACACCTGTAATCCTAGATATACGAGATAGAGGTAGGCATATCCCTGTTCCTAAGACCAGTCTTAACCAAAAACCTCAAAACCCTCCTTGGAAAAATTACTAAACTAAGGGCTGGAGGATGGCTTAAATTAACAGAGTTTCTTGAAGGCCTGAGTTCAGTCTTAGTAACTGCCAAAAGAAAAGAGAAAAAAAGAAAGGCTTATCATGGGCCAAAGAAATAAGAGAAGGGGAGGACTTTGTTCATAAATCAGTTTTCAAACCCTAGTGGGATAATGAAGGAGAGAGAGAAGCTACAAAAAGGTGAGGAATATTCATGTTCCATCTGGAAATAGGAATAGATTTTAAGGTTCTCACCTTTTTCATTGTTCGGTATTTCTGGTCATGGTGGTGGTAGGTACCTTCAAGGGAGGGAGAGAGAGACTAGGTAAATGTAGTTCAAGTTAACCCTATATTATAGTTTTGGAGAAAACATTTCTCAAATGATTGACATGAATTGTTCCAAAACAAGTATACTCTGAACCCAAAATATTATGGCAGCAAAGGGATCAGATAGGCAACAATATAAGATGCTGCCAAGGCATTTTTAATCTCATTTCCTTGCTCATCAGTCATTTGCAGGCCCAAGGGAAGAAGTCAGTGTTTTTAGCAAAAGTAACCTTCAAGTCTCTGTAAACTAACCTAGGCAGCTGTTACAAGGCACAAAGTTACCTACCACATAATTGAAAACCAACATTGTGTTGCTTGGGGTGATTAGTGATGAACTAAGAGCTATTCAGTCTAAAGTTTTTTTTTTAGGTTTTTTTCTCAGTAACTTCAAGGGAAAAAGATTTTTAAGGCTTTTTGAATCTGCTCTGACAGATTGCCTGACATCTGAGTTGATTTTGGCAGCTTATCAAGGCATTTTTTTGACTAAAGGCTTGCCTTGATAAATGTAGGAGTCTAATCACATCCTTAGGCACTGAAATAACTTGGGATTTTTTTTTTTTAAAGTATGGAGGGCTTCACAAATTTGCTTGTCATCCTTGTGCAGGGGCCATGCTAGTCTTCTCTGTATCGTTCTGATTTTAGTATATGTGTTGCTAAAGCGAGCACGGGATTTCTTTCTATATTCATGTGGAATTTTTTTTTTTTTTAATTTTTTGATGGTCCTGGGGTTTAGTCTTGGGGGCTTTTATGCTTGCTAGGCAAGGTGTTCTAACTACTTGAAGCCATTCCGCCAGCCTTTTTTTTTGTTGGTTTATTTTTTGAGGTAGGGTTTTCAACCGAAGCGTCTAAGACTATTGCACAGGCTTGACTTCTAAGAATAGAAGTCAGGTTTAGGTGTGAGCTACCAGCACCCCCAGCAAGTGAGTATAATATTGTTTTTTCACCATGAATTTTGAGGACTTTGCTCCTAGCAGGATAGAAGTTTTCAATCTTACTGTAATACTATCTTGTTTAGCTTATGGAATCTACTTATTTCTCCAGAAAGAACTGATAACCTTTTAGTAAAGAGTGATTTGTAAGAATCTTGTGATACTGTTCCCCATTGCTATACTAGGAATTCTTTGTCATTCATTTTTGTTGTGGATGTCCACTAAAGTTTTGTTGTTTTTATTTTTGGAATTTTGAAGATAGGAATCTGGCTAAATATATAGCGTCAGTGGCCTTGAATTCAACAATAGTACCAGCCTTAAGCCTCTCAACGTGCTGGGATTACAAGGTTGTGCCATACCCTGCTGCTGCCCTGGGTTTTAATTGGATTTGGTGTTCTACATATTTTTTAATGTAGAAATTTCTGTTTTCAACCATTTTCTTTCTCAGAATCTTTTTTTTATTGGAGAGTAATAATTTTTTTTTATTTTCTTTTTTTTTTTTTTTTTTTTATTTTATTCATATGTGCATACAAGGCTTGGTTCATTTCTCCCCCCTGCCCCACCCCTCCCTTACCACCCACTCCGCCCCCTCCCCTCCCCCTCAATACCCAGCAGAAACTATTTTGCCCTTATCTCTAATTTTGTTGTAGAGAGAGTATAAGCAATATAGGAAGGAACAAGGGTTTTTGCTGGTTGAGATAAGGATAGCTATACAGGGCATTGACTCACATTGATTTCCTGTGTGTGGGTGTTACCTTCTAGGTTAATTCTTTTTGATCTAACCTTTTCTCTAGTTCCTGGTCCCCTTTTCCTATTGGCCTCAGTTGCTTTTAAGGTATCTGCTTTAGTTTCTCTGCGTTAAGGGCAACAAATGCTAGCTAGTTTTTTAGGTGTCTTACCTATCCTCACTCCCTTGTGTGCTCTCGCTTTTATCATGTGCTCATAGTCCAATCCCCTTGTTGTGTTTGCCCTTGATCTAATGTCCACATATGAGGGAGAACATACGATTTTTGGTCTTTTGGGCCAGGCTAACCTCACTCAGAATGATGTTCTCCAATCCATCCATTTACCAGCGAATGATAACATTTCGTTCTTCTTCATGGCTGCATAAAATTCCATTGTGTATAGATACCACATTTTCTTAATCCATTCGTCAGTGCTGGGGCATCTTGGCTGTTTCCATAACTTGGCTATTGTGAATAGTGCCGCAATAAACATGGATGTGCAGGTGCCTCTGGAGTAACAGTCTTTTGGGTATATCCCAAGAGTGGTATTGCTGGATCAAATGGTAGATCGATGTCCAGCTTTTTAAGTAGCCTCCAAATTTTTTTCCAGAGTGGTTGTACTAGTCTACATTCCCACCAACAGTGTAAGAGGGTTCCTTTTTCCCCGCATCCTCGCCAACACCTGTTGTTGGTGGTGTTGCTGATGATGGCTATTCTAACAGGGGTGAGGTGGAATCTTAGTGTGGTTTTAATTTGCATTTCCTTTATTGCTAGAGATGGTGAGCATTTTTTCATGTGTTTTCTGGCCATTTGAATTTCTTCTTTTGAGAAAGTTCTGTTTAGTTCACTGCCCATTTCTTTATTGGTTCATTAGTTTTGGGAGAATTTAGTTTTTTAAGTTCCCTGTATATTCTGGTTATCAGTCCTTTGTCTGATGTATAGTTGGCAAATATTTTCTCCCACTCTGTGGGTGTTCTCTTCAGTTTAGAGACCATTTCTTTTGATGAACAGAAGCTTTTTAGTTTTATGAGGTCCCATTTATCTATGCTATCTCTTAGTTGCTGTGCTGCTGGGGTTTCATTGAGAAA